GCACCGTCATCTTCCCTAACTAATGGCATTGAATCTGCTCAAAGGCTGCCCTATTTTCCTAAATTGGCGTTTGAGAGAAGGCAGCGAGTCTTATTCCCTCTTCCACTTCTCCACAAAGTCCCCCTTCTGCACCACCCTCCTTTTCCTTTCCCATCCTCTTGCTGTCTCCAATTATACCATCTTTACAAACCCATCCTATGACCAAACTGGTAGATGTTAAGCAGGGATTGGAGGTGGCACATTTTCAGTTCTTAACTTCTTGCCAGGCTGGAAGTTTTCAAAATTAGGCATGAGAAGGAATAACAAGTGACAAGGAAAACATCTGACTTTCTTTTCACCTCCTCTAAAATTCCATGCTGTAGGTGAATGAGGGCACCTGCATTTGATAAATTGCACTATAATGGACATCCCGGCTGCTCTATAGTGAAGTTGTTAAGAGCATGGACTTTGGAGGCAGATGCCTGGGTTTCCACTTACTAGCTATGTGTGAATTTGGTTAAGTTAGTTAACTTCTTTATGCCTCAGTTTTTGTATCCATAAAATAGCACCTTTCTCATAGGGTACTTATAAGGATTAAATGAAACAATGTGTGTAAAGTACTTCGAATTGTGCCATGGCCATAGTAAATTCTATATAGGTATTAGTCATTATTTCATCTGAGATTTTAATACCCTTTCAACATTCCCAAGCAGTGGTCATTTATCTCGTACTTGATTTTTCCCAGGAACATGGAACTCACTACCTTCCAAGGTGACTTACTATCATTCTTACTGTTGGAATGTTGATCTTTCTATAGTGAACTAAAATTTGTTTTCCTTTTAGTTCCTGCTTACTGGCCTGAAGTTTACCTTGGAGCCATACAGAAGAACTGAATTGATATATGGATACTGTTATTTCCTTCTCATTTTCTCTAAACTAAACATCCTCCATTCCTGCAATCATATACATGTAATATGGATGAGTATTTAATAACTAGTTTGTCTATGTCTTCTTAAAGACTGGTACCCAGGAAGATGTGTCTGAAGGCAGGACTAGGGCTTTCCTCATTCTAGAGAGAATTCTAAGGTCCTATTCATTTTGGAATTTTTTAGCATTCATTTTTTACCACCTCAAGTAAAACTCAATTTGTTTTTGTATGACTGCTATTAAATTGCATCTCACCATCCCCTCTCTGGGCTTATGCAATTTTTTCTTGTCTTTTGTTTGTTTGTAGGATGTGGATGGTTGTTAGATAGTCCTAGGATGGTATAGGGTGGGAGTAGTAACTAGACAAATTTATAATTACTCCTGTTAAATTTCATATTATCATCAGCCTATAACTTGAGTTTATCAAAATATTCTTAGATTTTAGTTCTACCAACCTTCTTTTAATCATACAACATTGTGTCTTCTTTCTTTTGATAGCAAAAAATGTGTAGCCATTATACAATGAGAATGGCAGAATGCTGGGGAAGCCAGAGTCCTGCTTTTGTTCCTAGTCTCAAAAATAATAGACCTAAGGTACTTCTTAACTCTCAGGCTATCTGTGTACCTCAGAGATTTGTTTTTCAAGGATCGGTGCCAAGAAGACTAAAATGGTTTCTATCTAACTATCATCAAGATTGTGAGCAATCCTCTACAATGTTAAAAAGCAAATTAAGATTTTTCAGAAAAAATGTTACCTATAAAGCTATGAAAATGAAGAAAAAGCCACAAGTTTAGCCTAAAAGAAATCACAGTGAATTTACTGAGAATATGGAAAAAGGTATAAAATAAATTTTTTTTTGAGGAAGACTAGCCCTGAGCTAACTATTGCCAATCCTCCTCTTTTTGCTGAGGAAGACTGGCCCTGAGCTAACATCCATGCCCGTCTTCCTCTACTTTATACATGGGACACCCACCACAGCATGGCTTTTGCTAAGTGGTGCCACCTCCACATCCGGGATCTGGGCCCGCGAACCCCGGGCCGCCGAGAAGTGGAACGTGCAAACTTAATTGCTGCACCATGGGCCGGCCCCTAAAATAAATTTTTTAACCCTTGATCCTTTTATTTATTCAGTCCCTGGATGCCTAGGCATCTCTTTGTGAGCAGCTCCAGCTCTGAGAACTGCCTCTCTGCCCACACAGCACCTTGTATATATCTCTGCTCTTATTTTTGGCAATAGACAGAGGAAATGTTCGCCTGTCTGTCTCTTCCTTAAGATCATGATCTCCTCAAGGGCAAGAAAAAGCATTTTAATAATCCCTACACCAGCCCAGAACCTGACATATAAGAGATAATAAATGTTTATTGGATAAGTAATTGAGCAAGCATGCTAACTGTGTGTCCCTACTGATACAAGGGCAGTCATTAACTGAAGTTACAGCTTAAGTAGAAGAATTGTGAGGAGTAAGGACATTTCTCCTTCCCTACGCCCTTCCTACTTCCACCAGATCCCTTTCTGCCACTCTGGCCAGAAATTCCATTAAATGAGCACACCTTTAATTCTACGACTCTCTAAGACATAAAATGCAAGTATACCCACTGAAGAAGCAATACTTTGGCATAAATTTAAGTTAAGTTGCTCATTAGTGATATAAGCTACTCCCCCCAGTGCCGTTTATAGAGATTGGGCTGGTAGCAGAAAAAAGAGTATCCATCATCCCTGCAGGTGCCAGTCCTGCTGTGGCCATGGGCCTATAACATCCTGGAGCATCAGCCCACCAGCAAGTAGAGGCTAGAAGATTCTGCTGCTCCCACAAATACCATGCCTAGAACATAGATTCATCCTGCAGGTGCCCGTATGATCATCTGAACCAAGTTGCTCAATCAAACACCCACCCCATGCAGCCCGGCTGTCTAACTAGCTCCTTGGCCAGCGTTGCAAGCACCTGGGTCCCCTCCTGAAGTTGGAAGCCTGTCTCTGCATCTCAGTCAGCAATGAAGAGCCCTGGCTTTCTTGTCCTCCACTGTCCCCAGGGAAGACTGTGCTTTCCAGGGATTCTTCTTAAGAAGGCCTTTCACCCAGACCTGCCCTGAGAACTCTGCCGTCCTATGGTGGTGATCCCTTCATTCTTTAATTAGCGACCCCTTGGCCATTCACCTCTGCCTGAATGGGAACCTGACTTTTGCCTCCCATCCTCTCATTTGGGCTTGGAGCCCCACCCCCACCCTCAATCCCCTCCTACCCTATTCATTGGACCCTAACCCTTGCCAATCCTGGCTTGCTGCCAGTTTGCTCCTTCCTTTCCTACAAGAATCTCTGCATTTCTGTCTGCCCTGGTCACATGGCCTATGACTCTAAGAGGAAAAAGGAGGAGGAGGGAATAGGAAACGGAACCACCAGAGACAACAAAGACAAAAACTTCCATCTGTCTCACGTGTTTTGCCTAGGGCCAGAACTAGTGAGTGCATTGGTTTTAAATTCCATGCACTCGGACAGAATTTTCTCAAAAAGCGTCTTTAACTATAAGCTTCTCTGTCTTGGCATCAGGACCCTCTTGCAAGCAGTACCCCACCAGGTTGAGGTCAAATACCCAGTACTAGCCAGTTCTGCTGGAGCTTGGGCATCAGCCAAGCTCACATGCCAAAGTAAATAGAACAGAGAAGGGGCACGGGACAGAGAGACCAAAGGGGTATTTCCCAGTTAAGACATCAACACTGCTTTTTTTAAAAGCTGTGTTTTTAAAATCCTCCTCATTCAAAATATAAGTGCTTGAGAAGAAAGTTTTCCTTCCACCAGTGGCTATCTCAGTTCTTTGTTTTGTTTTGCTTTATTTGCAGTATTAGACGGGTTTTATTTTTCCATTGCACACAAGAAAGTTTAATGTTTGATGCCAGTAAAATAATTATAAAACACACGATGCCAAAGGAAATTAATACTTCATTATGTGTTAGATGAGTATATGAAATGTTTTTAATATAATCTTATTCATCATATTAGATACTTTCAAAATTATTTCCTTTTTATAGAATAATTTCATCATGAGTAGAATATCTTAGGCTTGTTTAACAACTAATTTAGGAGAAGGCAGTGTTTTAAAGTGGAAAAGAAACTAGACTGAGAATCAGAATTTCTTAGTTCTAGGCCTTTTGCTAACTTTGGCCTTGGAGTAAGATCTCGGAATCCTCATCTGCAAAATGAAAGAATTGAACAAGGAGACTCTCAATCTATTTTTCTTGTTACAGTCTTTTTCCTGTTCAATAACTTATACGCTAAGAATATGGTATGGTAAAAAGAGAAATGCCCTCAGATTCAAAAGACTAGGATTTTCCTCTGAGTGCTACCTCTGACTTTCTTTGTGACTTTGAGCATTTACCCTCTCCTGTTTCCTCATCTGTAATAAATAGGAAATGGAACAGATGGTGTCTAAGGACATTTCCAGCTCTAAAATTTTATAACAAAGAAAAATGTCTGTGGTGCATATGCTGCCTTCCATTTGCATGCAAAATTTGATGTTTTGCTCCGAGTAGCCTGAGAAGAATACATGCATTTGTAAAGCATCTCCTCAGAGTGCTGGAGCATACACTCATCCACGTGAACAGAGACCCTTAGTTCCCAAGGAGAAAAGCTGTCTTAAGAGCCTTCTTTGCTTCACCTCTCTTCTAAGTACCTGAGGTCAGGCTCTGGAATCCAGTATAAATTTTATTGCTAGGCTTCATCCAAGTGACCTCTGTAGCCTGTGAAGCAAAGACAACTATACTCCAGTCTAGTTTTTCCAGCTGTTTATAAATATACTGCTTACGTCAAAAAGTGACTTCTTAAAAGCTAAAAAAAGCCAATTATCAAACTTACTTCTAAATTTTCTTACATGAAAATGTGCTTAATCCAAAATACTTTTGTGTTGACAATTTCTGGATTTTTGTTAGAATGCCCTAACTATTCAAGTAAAGTATCTTTGCTTCAAAAGGAAGTCAGGGTTACAGTCACGGGTGGTTTACAGAACATTTTCTGGTAGTCTTTGCTTCATTTCAATATCTTGCCATGATTGGCTGTTGATAGCTACAAATAAGGAAGTCTTCAAGTCAGGGGATTTCTCAGTGGAAGTTCCCAGTTCAACACAAGGGAGAGCTCACGATTTGGGCGGCATTGCTAGAGCCTCTAGATAAAGCTTCCAGACTCTGTAACTACCTGTATCTTTAAAGAGCAATAGACTGTGAAGGAAGACTTGTCACTTGGAGAAGAAGTAACCAAAACTTTGGTAATTCCTACCAATTCTCAACCTACCAAGGTGGCCTGGATGTCTTAAACTGAAGTGTGGCAGATTCGTTCTACTCTTGCTTCTGCTAAGTGAGTAATTTATGACATTATTCAATAATGCCTTTGTATTCACTGTCATAGTTGGAAATTTGGTCTCTAAAAAATGGAGCCCCTAGCTAAGACTAAAGGAAAATTTTAAACATTGTGGTCTTTTTACCTTCTTCCCAACTTTTAAGGTAGAATTTATGTCTCTACTTGAAATGATCTTAAGTTTGTATTTGGAATATAAGCCTTCTCCAATAAGTGGTTTTCATAACATAATGTAAGACTTAAAGGATATGTATTTGGCATAAGTAAAGCTGTGTATAGCTTATTAGGTTGAAAAGTAAACTTACACTATATATATTCGTAGTTTTTGGTTAAATTTTTAAAGATCAATTCCAGCATGTTCCAGCGTGTCCATTCAAACATTAACTGGAGTTAGTATTTTTCCATATCCTAAGAAACAGAGGTTAATGAATATTTCTTTACAGCAAAGTATTAATCTTATAGACAACTTTGCATTCCCTATCTTGGAACATTTAAATTTACACAGAGTAATCCAGTCTTATTCTATTACCAATTAGCCTTTATTTTCACTATCAAAAATAAATATTAAAGATTATGTACTATTTTCTTAAGAATAATCTTAGGAAAAGTTGATAGTTCAGAAAGATTAAACATCAATCATCATTATCAGTATTATTATATTAATAGCTGCTATTTATTGAACGTCTGTTGGAGGAAAACAATCACAGGAACTTCCAGCTAGTAAGTGGCAGAGCCAGGACTTATAATTTTATACCACTTCTTTTTCCATGTCTCTCTGTTAACACTGCCTTGTCTTCTTATAATATTGAACCTATATTTTAAGAAGTCTTATCCAAGCTGCAAAATGATGGAGGAAAGAGGAAGATGACTTGGCGCGGGGCACAGAACAGCCAATCATTCATAGACACTTCTAAGTCATTCCTGGGTCTCCCTTTTCCTCTCTGCCACCCCATCTCCTCATTCCATCCAGAGTGTACTTCCGCCTGTGCACAGGTGCGCATATTAGTCTGCCTCCGTCCAGGGAGGACATGGGGCTGTATACCAGGTCCAACCTGACGGAGGTTCCTGCTAGCAGCCAACTAGGGTCCTAAAGCAACATCCAGTTATTTCTCTTAAACACTTGTAACAATAAAAGAGATAGCCAGCTGGAAGATTTAAAATAAATCTGTTAAATTCCTCCAAAAGAAGTTCTGGTTGAAATTTCATGAAGCTCATGCACTAATTTGAGGAAAATGATCATTCCTACATTAGAGAACCTTCCTGTCTGCAATCATTCTTTCCCTCCAGGTATTAAGGCCTCAGGAACCATAGAGGTTCTTTATTTATTGTAAAACATATTCCAATGTATTTTGTTTTATCTACTTCATGTGTGCGGTAGGGATGCCATCTTGATAGAGGCATTCTTTCCACTATGTTTTCTGACTAATTACTGCTGGCATTTGGGAAAATACTTGATTTCATAATTTTATCTTGCATCCAGCCATTGTATAGATCCTTTATTTGTTCTGAGTTATTTTAGGTAATTCACATGTGATGCCTGTATAAATATATTTTTGTCTCCTCTTTTTTTCTTCTCACCACATTGGCCAGAACTTCTAGAACAGTGTTTAGTAAGAGAAGAGATAGCAGCCAACCTTGTCTTCTTCTGATCTCACTGGGAATTTCCCTAGTGGTTAACATTAAGAACAACGTCGGCTGTTGGTTTGAGATAAATATGTTTATCACAAAAACCAAATAACTACCAAATATACTTCTAATCCTCGTTTACAAAAGATGTGTCAAGACTTCATGTTAAACTGTATTCAATGTCTTTTTGGTATAATTCGAGGCAACTGTATGGTTTTTCTACTTTAAACTATAGAGTGTTCTGCTGTTACACAATACAGTAATTGCATTTAAAAAAAATTGTTTGTTATCAAAAATCATGCCTCAGTAATAAAGGTAGATTTATAGTTATAGAGTATATTTTTTTATTGCTCTGGTTAAAATAATAAATTAGTTGATTAAAACAAAACAAAACAAACCTACACATTTCCTCATTTTCTCTTCAATCCACATGCTTAGACGCCTCTCCGCTGTTATTTTGGCTTCACAATTCAGTTCAGAACTCAAATTAACAGAAAAGAATGAAAACAATGTGGCATAGCCAAGGAGCCCTATCCAGACAGAGCAACCAGATACTCAGACAAAGCAGCTGTTCCTACGCTTTGTGCGAAAGGCTTCTCCCTATTGTGACAGTGCTACTTGCAGACTACAATTCAGTTACAACCAACAGTGCTATGCAAAACGTGTGTTCAAATTGATTAATGTTACACCAATTTATATCAGAAAGTGTGTACTGAAAAAGAAATGTCTATAATTTATTGAGCATTTTTGCTTTCATATTCATAAGTGAAATTAACCTGTATTTTTTATTTTCTGATAAAAATATCAAAATTTTCCATGTTTTAAAAAAAGCTTCATGAGAGTTATTTGCTCCTTGAAATGTTTAAAGAGCAAACACTGTTTGTTCTTGGCATCCGCTTTTGGAAGTAATTCTTTAAAAGCTTTCCAATGTTTTTTATTGTTATTGATCTATTCAGGTTTTATGCTATTTTTGCACACAGTTTAGGTTGTTTTGTTTATAAATGATCCTTTTTATCAAACTTCTCAAACAAATTGGCATGCATGGTATTTTTGTACTTTTTTGAATCATCTCCACCATGTGGATAACTCTTTTTCATTACTAATTTTTTCCATTTATGTTTTTTCTCTCTTTATTTTCCTGATTGGACTTGTCAAGGGGTTAATCTCTTGGATGTCTCACTTACATGGTTAGCTCTTTCTTAAATAATTAGTTTTGCTTTCAACATTATTAATATTTTCTTAATGTCTCTTTTTAGACTATTTTACTTTTCCTCTTCTCGATTTTTGAGTTGAATACTTAGTTCATTTATTTTTGTTCTTTCTTGTTTTGTAATGAAAGTATTTAAGGCTAAGAATTTTCTGAGTACCGTTTTAACTACACCTTACGACCTTTGCTATGTCATTTTCGCATTATCACTATTTTATGGTTTTTAACTGCAGTTTTATTTCCTCTTTGATCCAAGAGTTATTTAGGACGATAAAGCTTTTCTTAGTTAATAGATTTTATTCTTTTAGAACAGATTTAGGTTTAGAGAAAAATTGAGCCAACACTACAAGGACTGCTCATATACCACCCCGCCTCCCCGCCACACATAGTTTTGCCCGTTATTAGCATCTTACATTAGTACGGGGTTTAATATTGATTAAACTAAGGAATTAATATTGATACATGTTTATTAGCTCAGTCCATGTGTATTCAGATTTTGTAATTTTTTTCCTTTTAAAAAGATCGAGGTAAAATTCACATAACATAAAATGAAATGTTATAAAGTGAACAACTCAGTGGCATTTAGTATGTTCACAATGTTGTGCAACCACCACCTCTATCCAGTTCCAAAACATTTTTATCACCCTAAAAGAAAACTCTGTCACCATGAAGCACTTCCTACTCCTTTCAACCCCTGGCAACCACCAATCTGTGTTCTGTCTCTCTGGATGTACCTATTCTGGACATTTCCTATAAGTGAAATCATATAATGTGTGACTTTTTCTGTTGCCTTCTTTCACTTAGCATAATGTTTTTGAGATTCATCTATGTTGCAGCATGTATCAGTACTTCATTCTTTTTATGGCTGAATAATATTCTATTGTATGTATATGCCACAATTTGTTTACCCATTTATCTATTGATGGATAAGATAATTGGGCTGTTTTCACCTTTCGGTTACTGTAAATAGTGCTGCTATGACCATGAACTTACATTTGTTTGAATGCCTGGTTTCATTCTTTTGGGTACATACCTAGCAGTGGAATTGTGGAGTCATATGGCAATTTTGTTTAAAGTTTTAAGGAACCGCCAAATAGTTTTCCACAGTGGCTTGACCATTTTGCATTCCCACCAGCTGTGTATGAGAGTTCCCATTTCTCCACATTCTCACGAACGTTTGTTATTTTCCATTTTTTTGTTTGTTTTTTGTTACAGGCATCTGTCCTAGTGGGTGTGAATGGTACCTCATTGTGGTTTTGATTTGCTTTTCCATGATGACTAATGATGTCAAACATCTTTTCATGTGCTTGTTGGTCATTTGTATATTCTCCTTGGAGAAATGTCTTCGAGTCCTTTACCCATTTTTCAATCGGGTCATTTGTTGTTGAGCTATAAGAGTTTATATGTTCTGGATATTAGACTTTTATCAAATACATGATTTGCAAATATATTCTCCCATTCTGTAGATTGTCTTCTGATAATGTCTTTAAAAGCACAAAAGTTTTTTTTAGTTTTTGTAAAGTCCAATGTACTTTTTCTTTTCTTATTCACGATTTTCATATCATATCTAAGAATCCATTGCCAAATTCAAGATTATGATGATTTACCTCTATGTTTTATCTTAGAGTTTTATGGTCTTAGTCTTATATTTAGGTTATTGATCCATTTTGAGTTGATTTTGATATATAGTGTGAGGTAGGGGTCCAATTTCATTCGTTTGATTGTGGCTATAAGTAATCCCAACATCATTTGTTGAAGAGACTATTCTTTCTCCATTGAATGTTCTTGGTACCCTTGTCAAAAAATCAATTGGTGATAGATGCAAGGATTTATTTCTGGACTCTCAATTCTATTCTTTTTTTCCTTTTTTCTTTTTTTTAAGATTGGCACCTGAGCTAACATATGTTGCCAATCCTTTTTTTCCCCCATTCTCCTTCTCCCCAAAGTCCCCTGGTACATAGTTGTAGGTCCTTCTACTTGTACTATATGGGACACCGCCTCAGCATAGCCTGATGAGCAGTGCCATGTCTCCGCCCAGGATCTGAACCAGCGAAACCCTGGGCCACTGAAGCAGAGCACACAAACTTAACCACTTGGCCATGGGGCCGGCCCCTCTCAATTCTGTTCTTGCTGTCTCTATGTCTATCCTCATGCTAGTAGCACACTG